AACCCACCTTCACCCACTCCTACCCATTCAAAAACTTTACGGGGGGGCCTTAAAGAGGCTTAATCAGGCTTCAAGTGGCTTTGAAGGGCTTAAAAGGCAAAGAGGGAGGCTTAAAGGGGGGCTAGAAAGGCTTAAGGGGGAGGGCTTAAAGGGGCTGAAGAACGGAGGCTTAAGGGCGCTCTAAACATTATTACTTTTATTTTGACAATGAGAGAGAATGGATTTGTTCTAAATTCCACCCCACTCGAATCTTTTTTTTGTTTTTTGGATTTCGTTCTTTGAAACTAGAGAAGTGAGACTTTAACTTCCATTTAAAAGAAAGAGAGAAGAGAGAGAGAGAGAGAGAGAGAGAGAGAGAGTGCCATTTTGGCTTAAGTCGGAACCCATCCCCGGCTTGAGCCAGTCAGCAGCCATTTGAGTTTCGAGACCGGTATCGCTCAAACAGCCTTCCAGTCGTGAGCTCGATGACGTTGCGCCCCCCGCAGACAAACTTGGCAGGTCATGGTGGGCGCACCGCCCTGTGGATCCATGGCTGGCGCTTAGGAGTATCCTATCCCCCTGGCCCTACTTTCACGCCACACAACAACATGTGGAGGACTGAAGGCCCTGGCAAGGTGGTCAAACATGTGCCCCTGAACTCCCGAGCGAAGCAAGTTCACCTCAGTTGTTAACTACGACCGCGGCACACCTCAGGCTCGAGCGTCAGTGGTGGCAATGGGACGAAGATGAACAAGAACAGGGGGGAGGACGGCAATGGATGGGGGAACAAAGCGATGAGGAGCACAGTTGGGAAGATTGGCAGTGGAGGGGGATAGAGTGGGCAGATGAGGACAGATGGCAAAGGGAGGGGGAAGCAAGCTGGCAGAAAAACAAGACGACGACAGTCAGACGGCTTGGCGCTGGAGAGGGAGCGAAGACCGCAGGGCTGGCAGTGCAGAAAGCGCCGCGTAGGGTGAAGCAACTACGTCGACGTCCAGATGTACTGACTCTGACAAGTGACGCATATGCCAATGGGGTGAAGCAACTACGTCGACATCCAGATGTACTGACTCTGACAAGTGACGCATATGCCAATGTAAAATACTCAGCGTGTTGCAGTGTAACAGTCGATCTCAGGGGGAGGCTTCGGGGTGTTTGAGGATTGGTTTGTTTTGTGGGGAGGGGGAGGTTCGGTTTGGCAAGGGGGCGCGGGAGGCTTCGGGAGTTCGTAGAGGACTGGTTCAGTTGTGGGGGAGAGGGAGGTTGGAGTAGGGTCGGGGGTGAAGAGACGACTGGAATTTCATCCATGTTACCAGCAAGTTACCAACCGAGTAGATGAACGGGGCGGGGTCTTTAATTCAGGGTGGGGCAAACCTTTCGCTCCAATCAGACAGCAATGCATGTTTTTACCTCGCAGCCCGCGTTTGATTTTGTGCGCAAAGACGCTTCTCTAACGTGCTCGGACCGGGGGACACAAGACCCTACAAGGTCACCAACTACAGGCTACAGGTGCAGCTTGAATGCGTTCAGTAATGGGGGCATACCTAAGTGTGCTACGTGCAAGGGGGGGCTGGGGGCAAAACAATTGGCTGCACGGGGTGACCTCCAACAAACACCCGAGCCGCTCCAAATACAGGAGCCGAGCCGACGCACAGCCCCAATCCGGGGCGGGCGAAGACGCCCGGGGCTCCGGCCCCAAGCCCCTAGAAAGAAAGAAAGAGAGAGAGAGAGAGAGAGAGAGAGAGAGAGAGAGAGAGAGAGAGAGAGAGAGAGAGAGAGAGAGAGAGAGAGAGAGAGAGAGAGGGAGAGAGAGAGAGAGAGAGACAGTTAGAGTTAGAGAGGAATTTATTCTGAATTCCACCCCCTCGAATCTTGTTACATTTTTGTATTTTTTTGGGGTTTCATTATTCGAAACCAGAGAAGTGAGACTCTAAACATACATTTCCCTTTACGAAGCGAAAGAAGGGAATGTATTCTAAACTCCACCCCCTCGAATCTTGTTTTACATTTTATGTTTGTTTTTGGATGTCATTCTTCGAAACCAGAAAAGTGAGACTCTAAACATTCATTTCCTTTTACGAAAAGAAAGAAGGGAATGTATTCTAAATTCCACCTCCCTCGAATCTTGTTTTGTTTTTTGGGTTTCATTCTTCGAAACCAGAGAAGTGAGACTCTTCTTAAAGGGGAGCTTAAGGGCAATTCCACCCCGCTCGCTTCTTCTTTTGTTTTTTGTGTTCATTACTCGAGTTTCAAGGAGCAGAGAGTTCATAGCAGTGACGTGGCGCGGGGTTAAGCTGAGAACCCCATGTTTTTTTTCAGAGATGATTCATATGCTTCCACGCGAGCTTGCCCGGCAGAAAAAAGCGGGGGGGTTGGGCAGCCCCCCCCATTTGCATAGCAGTGACGTGGCGCGGGGCTAAGTCGAGAACCCCATGTTTTGTTTTGTTTTGGACATGATTCATATGCTTCCACGCGAGTTTGCCCGGCTTAAACAAGCGGGGGTTGGGGGGGGGCGCAGCCCCCCCCATTTGCAAACACGATGCTCGCATTAGGCCTCTTAAACTGCTGCCTAAATCCTCCACCGAAGGCCCAGCAGGTATTAAGCCTCTTAGACGTCGTAAACTGCTGCCCGAACCCTCCACAAAAGGCCCAGCGAGTATTCGGCCTCTTAAACTGCTGCCTAAATCCTCCACAGAAGGCCCAGCAAGTATTACGCCTTTTAAACTGCTGCCCAAACCCTCCACAAAAGGCCCAGCAAGTATCAGGCCTCTTAAACGGCTGCCTAAACCCTCCGCAGAAGGCCCAGCAAGTATTACGCCTTTTAAACTGCTGCCCAAACTCTCCAAAAAGGGCCAGCAAGTATTAGGCCTTTTAAACTGCTGCCTAAACCCTCCGCAGAAGGCCCAGCAAGTATTACGCCTCTTAAATTGCTGCCCAAAGGCCCAGCAAGTATTAGGCCTCTTAAAATGCTGCCTAAACCCTCCACAGAGGGGGGGGCTTGGTTGCGGCTTCAGGGGGGAGCTTTAGGGGGGGCTTTAAGGGGGCTTAAAAAGAGGGGCTTAAAGGGGGGGCTTTAAGCCCCTTAAAACGGGGGGGCCTTAAAGGGGGGCTTTAAGGGGGCTTTAAAGGGGGGGTTTTAAAGGGGGGCTTAAAGGGGGGCTTAAAGGGGGGCTTGAAGGGGGGGGCTTCAAGGGGGCTTAAAGGGGGCTTTAAGGGGGGGCTTGAAGGGGGGGGCTTCAAGGGGGCTTAAAGGGGGCTTTAAGGGGGGGCTTAAGGGGGGGGCTTAAGGGGCTTAAAGGGGGGCTTAAGGGGGGGCTTAAAGGGGGGCTTAAGGGGGGGCTTAAAGGGGCTTAAGGGCTGTGACCCTTTGCCCCCCCCGCCCCCCCCGAAGGGACCCCCTTTGCAGGGACCCCTTTGAAGGGGGGCTTAAGGGGGGCTTAAAGGGGGGAAGCCCCCCTTTGCCCAAAGGGGGGGGGGGCCCATTCTCCTTAAGGTTTAGGGTTCGGGTTCTGGGTTTGAGGGCTTTTTCAGGCCAGAAATTCGGCATTGGATCTAGGATGAGTTAAAATGCGGAATATGCGGATCGTGCTCCCCGTTACGGACCTCGCCACGGGGCTTGCTTGCATAAACCGAAAACTCTCAACAAGGTTTAGGTTTAGGGTCTCGGGTTTACGGTTTTGGGTCTAGGGTCTGGGTTTCAACGTCAGGTGACCTACGTTGGGCGTGCTTGTCCTCTTCAACGCAAAAACAGAAGGACCCGATCCAGTTGCCGTATTCAATCTTTTTGCAACTGGGTCACCGCAAAAAAAGAAAACTCCAACCCGGTAAATCCGTGGAATCGTGTCTCAAGCTTCTAGGTCCTGTGCGGCACACGTACAGTCAAGTTTCTCTTAATTGGGTCGAGGTTGTTTGGGATTGGGCGGCTAGGTGCTGACTGTCTGTCATGCGTTGACATCGCATGCGTGGCATTGTGGCATTGTCTGCATGTGTGAAAATCACAGAAGCAAAGCGAGCACGGCCTCTGTCAAGTCCAGGTGAGAGCAGTTCAAGATTGCCGGTATGTCGCCTTCATTGATCCAGGGGGTGCTGGCACTGGTGTAGCGCGCCAGGGGCACATATGCATGTCGAAGAGCTTCACTGCCATAAGCCCACAACTTTCTTGGTAGCCCGTAACCATATGAATACGGGCATTTTTTTTTCCCGGCTGGTTACTTTATGAGGGAACCTTGAACCAAAAGAAGGGAAAGGGGCAAACCCACAATGGACATCAACCCGTCCACCTTCTCTAAACCCTAAACCCTGAACCCCAGTGCTTCGGGACGTTTGACAATCTCTGTAAGCTTTCGCCCAAAGTTGGCGCTTTGGAGCAAATAAGGTGAGAACATGTCATGGTTTCTAGTTTTCATCCAAAATTCTTCTGTTATACCCAAGTCAAAGATCACACAAATTCAGTTTTATTCAAGCCATTGCTTTGGTGTCTTCATTGTTTCAAAAGGTGGTGCAGATGATTGATGTCCGCAACGCCAGGTGGCGAAAACGATATATACGGAACAATCGTCGGCAAAAAGAAGCGGCATTACACCATGCCCAAGAAGTTTCACCAAATGGCATTCGTTCATTGGGATGCAGGACAGCGTGTTGTCTGACCATGCCTCTGAGTTATGTGCGGCCGCAAGTCGTGCCAGACTGCTGGGGACAACATCGCGTCCGTCAGCAGCGGTGGCATACCAGTTTGAACGCCAGATTCTCAGCACAACAAGCCGTCACCCCTTGCTTTCGGCAGATCCGGAATGCAAGACCTGCATTTGTGGAAGGAGCTTTCAGTTCACGCGCTTGGAACTCGGTTGATGTAACCCTCGCATGGTCAACCTTTTTGGGATGGTTTTGAGAAGAGGAGCTTGCATGTAGAATTGTTGTGAAACTTTGCGGCCAAGGGTTTGCGCAGGGAGATGCTCCAATGCCACAACGTGATGACACAACTGTGGTGATGCGCTTGCAGCCGGCAGCTGAGCTGTGAGCCGATGAGCAGGCAGGGTGCAGCTAATGTGGCACAAGTGCGACCCTTCATGTCAAACATTGCACGATGTTTCATGTGAAACACAAGTGTTTGTTTTTGAACGACTCACAGTGCAGGGCGGTGCCGAAGGACGCATTGGACGCACAGTCGGAATCAATGTTTGCAGGCAAAAATAGCGCTACACACTCCGAAATTGGCGAAGCCATTGGTTTGCAGATTACGATCATTGAAAAGAGCTTGCGTGTGCATCAATAGGGCACGCAACCTCTTCGACACCGTGTGCTTCTTCCTGCTGTCATGAGGCCAGCCAGGCTCACAACTTAGTTCGAGTCAAAACCAGCGATCGTGACTGTCACGTGGAGCTCGTTGGACATGGCAGGTGGGAGCCATGCGGAGTTTGCGTGGTGGGGCAGCGAATCGAGAAATCTCTCACAGGGTGGGAGTCTCAGCATTTCTGGCCGGTTCACAAGCATGGTGACCGAAGCATGCTTTACGTTCCCGGATGTTTCTTTAGCAGCCAAGCGGAGGTGAAGCAACAACTTGCCCAATGCGAGGCTTCATGCCGGGCTTGCTTCTGTTTTGATGTCACTTGCAGGCTTCATTGTTTTTGTTTTGTTTGGTTCGAAGGCTCGGGCGGGCAAAACCCTCCTTTTCATGCATTTTTTCACATCAAGCTCAGCTGGTTTTTCATACGCCGCATCAGAACAGGCCGGTCAGATCTTGAAGGTGGCCGACTACTGCGGCGACCACGTGAAACTTGATGGAGCTGTGGCAGTTCGGACCTTTGCTAGATGGGATTTGAAGTCAAGCATATTGGATGTATCTCGCCGTTTTTCAGCAATGGTGCCCTTTGCATCTCGATATGCTGTCGCGAAAAATGTGAAAGTGATGGAGATTACAAGGCGCTTCAGAAGCTGGCACGTGATCCCCACTTCAAGACCAATGGCAAGGACCATGAGTACATGGCTAAAGCTGGAAGGAGCCCTGTGTTGCTAATTGCGTCTGCAGGACCGGAGAATCAGCAACATGTTGGAAATCTACCGAAAGTGTCTGATGCAGTTGGCTCAGCTGTGGGGTAGGGTGGTGCGCCCCAATGTGTATGCCTGTTCTAGGCCAATGCTTAAGCTTCTTTTTTCCTTCATCAAACCCCGGAGCGCCCGACAGCATTTTCAATTGCACGTGCGTTGCGCGTGCATGTGTGCGTGCATTCCTGAAGGCCAAGTGGAGATATGGATTTGTGCCAGTTCTGTCCTCAGTAGTGAACTTGTGCACTATGAGCATGCAAACCGGCCGGCACTCTGTAGATCGAAAAATTATGGTTACTTAGCCTCGGACTTAGTCGTTCTGACATTTGCGACGCTTCACGTGTCCCACTCGAGGGGATTTGGGGTCATTGCTTCCTAAAGTACTGGATGGCGACTGTCTGCGTTGGACTCGTTGTAATCATTCTTAAGTCACATTCCCCGCTTCTGCCAAGGCTCACAACGTCCTGCTGGGCTTTTGCAAGGCTTCAGGTGTCATGTGCTCGATGCGGTTTGACTGTAGGAGACAGTGTAGGAGACACTGAGCGAGAAAGGGAAGCTGAGCTGTGGTGAGGTCTGATGCACCTCTGCTTGCTCGGCTGGAATCGGCTGTCATGGAGAAGGTGCACGAAATGTCGCCACAGGACAGGGTCCTTGTTGTGCAGGTTCATGCGATTCACGGAGAGCGTGCCGAATCGCATCTGCATTGTGGTGTTTGTCCATGCTGTGGTTCAAGATAGCTGACCATAGCGTAGAAGTTTTGCATACTGGCAACCTCAGTTTGTGCTTCGTAGCCAAAATGAAGACTGAGATTGCGGCTTTCTGCGCAATTGGTGCCGGTGCAGCGCTGCAGACTGCCTTTGTGTCAACACCAGGGGTGCAAGATGGCCGAGGACGCCTCAGGGCGTCCCACCCTACGAGCCAGGCATCGCCCTCAACGGCCTCGACCGGTTCCTCGACTGTTGTCTTGGCATCTGCTGCGGCAGGCATGGCAGTTGCTGCGGCGGGTGCTGGCAAGAGCCGCCGCGCACGCACGCAGCAAAAAGCCCGCGGTGGCTTTGACACTGTGAAGTCTGAAGAAGTCTTTACTGAGGCAAAGACACTCATGCCAGGAGGTGTGTCCAGCCCTGTTCGTGCCTTCAAGTCAGTTGGAGGCAATCCAATTGTCTTTGATCGTGTGAAAGGTGCCTATGCATGGGATGTTGACGGTAACGAGTACATTGACTACGTGGGAACTTGGGGCCCAGCCATCATCGGACATGCAGATGACACCGTGCTCAAGGCTTTGAACGAACAGATGCAGAAGGGCACCTCCTTTGGCGCTCCTTGCGCGCTCGAGAACGAGCTCGCCAAGATGGTGATCGACGCTGTGCCCTCTGTGGAGATGGTGCGTTTCACCAACAGCGGCACGGAGGCTTGCATGGGCATGCTCCGCCTCGTCCGTGCTTTCACGAAGCGGGACACGGTCATCAAGTTTGAGGGCTGCTACCATGGCCACGGGGATGCCTTCCTGGTACAGGCTGGCTCTGGGGTCGCGACCCTTGGGCTGCCCGATTCTCCAGGTGTTCCTAAGGGGGCCACCACAAGCACGCTTTGCGCTCAGTACAACAACCTGGAGTCCGTGGAGGAGCTTCTCAAGGAGAATGAGGTGGCGGCTGTGATCTTGGAGCCGGTCGTCGGTAACTCGGGCTTCATCCCGCCCACCAAGGAGTTCCTGGTCGGACTCAGGGAGCTGACCACCAAGTATGGTGCGCTGCTTGTCTTTGACGAGGTGATGACCGGCTTCCGCATTGCCTATGGCGGTGCTCAGGAGCATTTCGGCGTGACTCCAGATGTCACCACCATGGGCGCCTTGCCTTGTTGCAATAGCCAAACATAGGCGGATGGTTTGTGTCGGTTTAGATGTGGCTGGATTGTATCCTGAGAACCATGCGCGATTCAGAAACTGGACGCGATTCAGGAAACCAGGGTTCAGGAAACCAGGATTCAGGAAACTGCGCGATTCAGGAAACCAGGATTCAGGAAACCACGCGATTCAGGAAACTGCGCGATTCAGGAAACTGTTTTCCCGCGATTCAGGAAACCGCGGTTCAGGAAACCACAAGATTCAGGAAACTGAAAACACGCGATTCAGGAAACCGCGCGATTCAGGAAACTGACAGCACGCGATTCAGGAAACTGCGCGATTCAGGAAACTGCGCGATTCAGGAAACTGCGCGATTCAGGAAACCAGCGGATTCAGGAAACCACGCGATTCAGGAAACTGCTCGATTCAGGAAACTGCGCGATTCAGGAAACTGCACGATTCAGGAAACTGCGCGATTCAGGAAACCACGCGATTCAGGAAACCATGCGATTCAGGAAACCGCGCGATTCGGGCCTGTTGAAATGTGGGGGGCTGCTTTGTGACACTAACCGTTCAAGCGCATTGGGCTCCAGCAGCCATTCAAGCAATAGCATTGGGCTCCAGCCTGTTGAAACTGGGTCTCGGGGGGGGGGGATGATAGCGTCCAGGACAAGGCTGCTTTGTGACACTAACCATTCAAGCGCATTGGGCTCCAGCAGCCATTCAAGCAACAGCATTGGGCTCCAGCCTGTTGAAACTGGGTCTCGGGGGGGGGGGGGATGATAGCGTCCAGGACAAGGCTGCTTTGTGACACTAACCATTCAAGCAACAGCATTGGGCTCCAGCAGCCATTCAAGCAACAGCATTGGGCTCCAGCCTGTTGAAACTGGGTCTCGGGGGGGGGGGATGATAGCGTCCAGGACAAGGCTGCTTTGTGACACTAACCATTCAAGCAACAGCATTGGCTCCAGCAGCCCTTCAAGCCAGCATTGGGCTCCAGCAGTTGAAACTGGGTGTCGCGGGGCGGGGGGGGGGGGGGGAAATGATAGCTCCAGGACAAGGGCTGAACTTGTGGAATAACCCTTCAAGCAAAAAGCAGTGGCTCCAGCAGCCATTCAAGCAACCGCATGGCTCCAGCCGGTTGAAAAAAGGGTGTCGGTGCGGGGGGGGGGGGGGATGATAGCGTCCAGGACAAGGGAATGCCTTGTGGACACTAACCATTCAAGCAACAGCATGGGTCCAGCAGCCTTCAAGCAACAGCAATGGGCTACAGCCTGGACTGGGTGTCGGGGGGGGGGGGATGATAGCGTCCAGGACAAGGCTGCTTTGTGACACTAACCATTCAAGCAACAGCATTGGGCTCCAGCAGCCCTTCAAGCAACAGCATTGGGCTCCATCCTGTTGAAACTGGGTGTCGGGGGGTGGGGGTGGGGGATGATAGCGTCCAGGACAAGGCTGCTTTGTGACACTAACCATTCAAGCAACAGCATTGGGCTCCAGCAGCCCTTCAAGCAACAGCATTGGGCTCCAGCCTGTTGAAACTGGGTGTCGCGGGGGGGGCGGGGAGGGGGGTTGCGGGGGGTTGGGGGGGGGGGGGAGGGGGGATGATAGCGTCCAGGACAAAGCATTGGGGTATAGCCTGTTGAAAGTCGGGGGGGGGGAGGATGCGCTATCATCCAGGACACGGCTGCTTTGGGCTCGCCCGATCCGGTAATTGGAATCCACACGAATCCGGTTCCTCCAATCCGCGGTTTCCGAATCCGCGTTTTCCAGTTTCCTCCGAATCAGCTGGTTTCCGAATCCGCGTTTTCCAGTTTCCTGAATCAGCTGGTTTCCGAATCCGCGTTTTCCAGTTTCCTGAATCAGCTGGTTTCCGAATCCGCGTTTTCCAGTTTCCTGAATCAGCTGGTTTCCGAATCCGCGTTTTCCAGTTTCCTGAATCAGCTGGTTTCCGAATCCGCGTTTTCCAGTTTCCTGAATCAGCTGGTTTCCGAATCCGCGTTTTCCAGTTTCCTGAATCAGCTGGTTTCCGAATCCGCGTTTTTCAGTTTCCTGAATCAGCGGTTTCCAGTTTCCGAATCCGCGTTTTCCAGTTTCCTGAATCAGCTGGTTTCCGAATCCGTGTTTTCCAGTTTCCTGAATCAGCTGGTTTCTCGAATCCTGGTTTCCCGAATCCGCGTTTTCAGTTTCCGAATCCGCGTTTTGTAGTTTCCAGAATCAGGGTTTTCCAGTTTCCGAATCCGCGTGTTTCCAGTTTCCGAATCCGCGGCTGACCGTATCCTGATACTGACATGAGGCAAAGTCATCGGCGGCGGTTTGCCAGTGGGCGCGTACGGTGGCCGCAAGGACATCATGGAGATGGTGGCGCCTGCAGGGCCCATGTACCAGGCTGGAACACTCAGTGGCAACCCTCTTGCTATGACAGCGGGAATCGAGACGCTCAAGAGGCTGAAGGAGCTGGCTTCTACTGAGTTACTGAGCTGACGCAGGCTGTAACTAGCTTGTTGAACCACAATAGGAGATTGCTTTGAAGGAGCCTGGCAGCTATGAGCACCTAGACAAGCTCACCGGCAAGCTCATCAACGGTAGCTTGGAGGATCTTGGAGGTGCCGAGCGAGGACAAGGTAAACGTAACGTGCTTTCTCGGGCTCATTTGCAGCCCAGGTATCCTAGATGCAGCGCGAGAGCACGGACACCAGGCCGGTGGTAGAAATACAGTTTGTTGGATGCTGCATCTTAAAGTCCTCAAGACTTGATCGCACATGCTTAGTCCACTTGTGTGGTCTCTGGCTCGCAGCCTGCACGACTCTGTGGCGCAGACGCGCGTTGGCATTTGCAGGTCTGCGGTGGCCACATCAGCGGCATGTTTGGCTTCTTCTTCTGCGAGGGTCCTGTTACGTGCTTTGCGGATGCCACGAAGAGTGACACCGAGAAGTTTGCCAAGTGGCATAGAATGATGCTGAAGAAGGTTCGCAGTGTCCATGTTAGTAACCTGCAGAAGCTGCCAATTCACAGGACAGGCCCCTGTCACGTGTGTTCCCTGACAAGGGGGTTTACTTGGCACCGTCCCAGTACGAAGCGGGCTTCACATCCCTTGCTCACACAGAGGAGGACATTGAGAGGCTCGGAAGCAAGATAAGCCAAGCAGACTCCGGATAGTTTCTTACCCGTTTCTTACCAGCTCGTCGCAGAATGCCAAGGAAAACTATTGCCGCGGCCAAGGAGGTCTTCTCGGAGCTGTAAATTGTACAGCTCTGCTCTGACTCTTGTTTTGTTTTTTGCAGTTGAGGAGCGTGGCATGTGCCACTGCATCCAGTTAGGGTCTCAATCCGTTAACTTCAATTCTACCGGAGCAGACTTGCGACCCTCTTGAATGCGACGAATTGCAGTCATCATGAACCGACCAACGTTTGGCTATCAGTTGTGTAGCTGACAACCTCGTCGCAAAGTGATGATGCCGTAGCGTGGGAGGCCAACATTTAAAGGTTTGGCCTCCTGCCAGACACAGCTTCCGCGAGTGCAGACTCCATCAACATAGAGACGCGTGCCCATGACTTTCAGAGAAAGAGCAGTGTGCGTGTGCAGCCAGGGCGTCAGAGTACTTGCATGTATGTGCATGTACGTGCAGTTGTGTTACAGCCGTGCAGGAGATATCTTCAACCGCCTGGGCGTTTGCAAGGCTCGCCGAAGAACGTCGCTTGTCCTAGGCACTTGTTCCAGTCCGTTTTGCGTGGAGGCTGCAAGGAAATAAGTCAATTCCCGTTCCCCGCATCCCCACGGCAGTAATTTTCAGACAGATCGAAGATAGTGCGCATCACTGTGGCCTGCGGGAACCCAAGCTAGGCCCCCCCCACCCTTCCCCCCCCGCCCCCCCTTCTGCTCAAGCCCCCCCCCCCCCCCCCCTCCGCTTAGGGCTTGCAGTGGCCTTTTGATGGTCCAACAGTGCTCCCAACTAAACTGGATCCGCGTAAAGGTACGCGACAAATACGAGACTGTAGCTGACACACGACCATTCAAAATGGAGCTGCTGTCCGTCCCGTCCTCTTTCCAGTGCCACGGAACGCAACCCCCACAACATGGAACCCCGTCAAATGTAAGAAGCCTTGCCTGCATGTGTGCACTATTCCCCCAGTTCTACACATACTATATCGGGGTGATAATGGACCACGCATGACCACGCTGAATTGTAAGGCGGCGACAAGCATGCAACAGGAACTGCAGACAGGACGTGCGCATCAACATATTTGGTGATGAACATTTGTTTCTTGCAGCAACGCCCTCCCAGTTCGCAATACGATCAGATTGTTTCTGACATTCTTTCCGCGTCCTCATTTTCCCTTTAATCTTGCGTAATTGGCGTTTCCCTGAAATTCATAATGCGGCCGCTCTTCTCTTTTCCCACGAAACATAAGCTAAGGAAAGTCTGGTCACTAAACGGGGGCCAGGAGGGGGTGGCCGGGAGGCTTAAAATTTAGAGTCTCTTAGTGCCGAGCCTTAGGTTTGGCTTGACCCACAAGTGCAGATAGTTGAACAGCACCTAGGGCCGCAGGGCTGAACAAACTATAAAGGGGATCCAGGATGTACCTGCCGACCCTAGACTTGGAGATGAACACAGAGGTTGGGTCCCGAGGGCAGACAGAAAGAACCTGACGTAGAAGCCTTAAACTTTGGCTGTTCCTATTCAAGGTTTCTCAATCTGAATGGTGACAAACAAGTTTGCAAAGTGGCACGTCCCTACTTTGGAGGGTGGTGGAAGCACAACTCAGAAGTTTCCAGCAGTACTCGCGATGCCGCTGCACTCACGAGCTAGATGTGCTCGCCCGGCCGCTGCTTGTGTGCAAGTTTTGCACCCTGTCGGTCGGTTCAAGAGGGCAGCGGGCGCATCTGTCGAAAGGGCACGCGTCGCTACCAATGTCGTTGCGAGATTGGAAGGTGGATTTCCCCACGCGTCAAGATGGGTTGAGGTAGTTGCCAACTTGTTGTGGCGCGAAGCACGGATCAAGCACGTGGCCGGTTGCTGCCTTGTTCAGCATACAGGGAAGGCAAACGTTCGCCGCGCAGCCTTGTGCTGCTGGCAATGCTGGCAGCTTTACGCGTCCACGTGCCACCACTGTAGAGCTGTCGTGCAGTCAATGACGGATTGCATCGGTGGCGCGGTCGTGCGGAAATCTGCGCAGACTCAGACAAGCAAAGACGCAAAGACACGTGAACACGAGCGACCGAGTAAAGACGGGCGAAAACGAGCGAAGAAGAGCGACGACGATCGACGACGAGGCGTCGCCTGTCGCTCGGGGCTCGGTGTGGATGCGATGTCTCCTCCCTGCCTCCCCCCGTTGCCAGCTGCCTCTGCAAGCGGGAATCTGCGAAAGGAAAAGTCAATGTCAAAGTCAAACCTGAATGCCCGAAGCCTTGACCCTTTACGGCTCAGGATATCAACTACGCTGTGCAAAGAAGGCAAATCTGGATACGTGTGTGTGTGTGTGTGTGTGTGTGTGTGTGTGTGTGTGTGTGTGTGTGTGTGTGTGCGTGCCTTTCACAATCGGTAGACGTCATGAAACTGGGGCAAATCGTTTTGCCATGACGATTGCACAGCTTCTAGGTCCAGTGGCCTTTCTCCTGCCATCTGCAAAAGGTAACCAATTTCTCATGCTACATCATTTTCGTACGACGAGGGAGATTCCATTTCATAACACAGTCATAGCACGTTTGACCCGACTGGCTTGGTAGCAGCGCGATGTACGAAGCAAGCTGCAAATACTGCGTTGGCCATTTTTCTGGATCACAGCAGTTTCGGATGCGTCCGTTCCATGACTGTAGAATTTGATGCCATAGTAATTTCCAATCCATTCCATCCAATATTCCGAGCAGCATCGTAGTAAGCGCCGAAATTCAACATCCATCTTGTGCAAATGCCGTGCACGGCATGATGCCCGGAAGCAAAGCATGCAACAGGTGATATCACCACCGATCGAAAGAACTCCAATCGACAAGAGGACATTCTAGAAACGACCGTGGGTCACGAGCCAAAAGGAGGTTCTCATCGCATGATGTCCAACTGTGCTTCCAACATGATTTGGTAGCCTTTTGCAAGTGGAAACTCAAGTCTTTTTTCAATGCATCTGAGCTCGCTGTGGAGAGCATGCGCCCAAACCATTTATGGCAGTCAGGCACGTCAATGAGTTTGTCTGTGGGAGCATCATTGGCCGCATGCTTATGGACGCGCGCACCTGGTTTGGGCCTGCCAGCGGCGCACTTTGCCAAGAGGCTACATCCCGGTGTCACATATATGGTGTATATGCAGCTTGTTCATACCATTTGGCAATGACAGTCTGTTTGACATGGATATAACTTCCATTGACCATATTACCATATTGCATATCATTACTATTGAATATTCAGTCAATCATATCTAAATCTGTTTTAATTGTTGAATCCGGTAAATCTGGCATGATATGAAAATCCGTTTTAAATCCTGTATTTTTTAAAAACCATCTTTCTGCTTTAGTTGCATCTTATAACTTCCACGATTAATCTTTTTCAAGCAGGAGTCCAGGAGGCCATTCTCCAATCCTTCTTTGGCCCCCAACTGGCGCAAGGCATCGACCGACTGCGCGAGCAACCGACGTGAGCAACCGTCAGTACCCCCGCGCCTCAGCCAGCGCCGCCGGCCCACGTCCATGCGCTCTGCTGCCGTCGAGTCGCGGCTGTTTGCACCTACAGTGGAGGCATCAAATTTCGTGGAGTTGGCAAACTGGAATATGCAACGGGCGCCCATTGCCGTGCGTGGGGACACCGGTCTGTCATGGGTTTGCCCACGCTGCTCACGCAGTCTCGACGAGTCCAGCTCAACCAGGGCAAAACCCGTGTTTGGAACGCAGGAGCCCGCAATCTGTCCATCCACCCAGCAGGGCGTCGAAGTTTGGGTGGGAGCGTGGAGCTTTGGAAACGCAACAGCTGCAGGAAAAACGCCGCCAGCAGAACACTGCTGCAGCGCATCCCAGACCTCGCCGACTTGCAATCGGGTTGGCTACCGTCTGCTTCCCTTAGACTGCACCGTCGAGTATGCTCGGGAGCATGATCAGGCGGTTGAGGCCTACGCTGCTCTACCGCTCGGCTTTGGAGGGGCCGCAACTGCAGGTGCGCCAGCCACTTTCTCCGGGCACTGCTTGCTCGCCTTCCTGCCGAGCTTGAACGCTTCCCTTGCAGTGTCAGCCGCCGCCGGGGTCTGACGGGTAAGGCTTCCCCACTCCACTGTGGGGCGAGGCTTCTGCTGACTCAGGCCGCAGCAGGAACCTTGCGTGGGTGGCAACGTGCTGCCGCTTCCCGCTTTAGACACACGGACCGATGCGGTCGTCGTGTCGCTCGATGGCCGAAGCGCCTATGACAGCATCTCGCGCGCCGCGTTTCTCGCCAAATTGCGGGAGGTGGCGCCGTTCGTGCGTTTGTTTTACGGCCAGCCCTCGCAATACTGCTGGTGGGATTCCGAGGGCCAAAAAACAACTCCGAGGGCCTGCTCCGCGACATGCCGCAAGGTGAAGGATGCGAGCAGGGGGATCCGCTGGCTACAGCGCTTTTCGCGTTGGGGCAGCAGGATTCCCTGGCCCGAGCAGCAGCGTCGCTGAATCCCCAAGACAACCTCTTGGCATTCCTCGATGACTTGTACTTGTATGTTGTCACGGTGCCAAGCCGCTTTGGTGCACGGGGCCACGTCGTGTGGCGGGACGGTGCGGAGAGCATGGTTGAGCACACTGCGTGTCGGGAAGGAGGGGTAGGTGTTGCAGCAGGTCCCGCTCCTCAGCCAAGCGGCGCCCAGGTTGGATGCCATGCCGCACCCCTCTTCGACCGTGGGGGACGTTGATGGACTTGCTGGGGGGGATCGCGCCAGACGACAGAGCACGCTCGCGCCCTAGCAACGCAGCCGGCCGTGTTTGGAGGATTCGGTCCCAGTCGGCCACTCGATCAGCTCCAGCAGCGTACTGGGCCGCATGGGCAGACTCACTGCCCGTTTTTGCGCGCCAGACTGCCGGACTTGGCCGCGCACTGTGTGCGATGTTTGGCTGAGGATGGTGGGGCCGGCGTGCGATGCTTGGCCAAAAAAAATTGAGGCTGCTCAGGCGCTACTGCGGACAGAAGGCTGGGAAGCATGCCCCCCTGGCACGAGTTGGCTGGGCCCCCTAAGCAGGACGTAGGCCTCGGTGACTGGCAGGCCTCGGTGACTGGCCGCATGGCTGGGACCGCGTTTTGCTGCCAGCCCTGCCAGCCAGCCACCCGATCGGAGGCGGGGCCACACGCAGGAGCACGGCTCACCGCCATCCTTAGCGAGGCTGCCACGACGCTGTCGTCAGATGCCATGCAGTTGGCCTTACGCCGGCGCGTGCGCATTGCCCTTACCCATCGCCTTGGGACGTTGCGGCCCAGCGCCAGGCTGCGGCGGGCAGGTGGACCGCTTCGGTGACCACACCCTGGCCTGCCCACGCACCGGCTTGCTCGCACGGCAAGCCAAGGTTGTCGAGTGCGCGTGGATCCGCGTCGCTCGCGAGGCGCTTGGGCCGGAAGGGCAGGTGGTCCCGCAGCAATGGCTTGCGCACACCACGGCCCTCGGCGTGGCGCCCGGGGACCGGCGGCGACTAGACATGCTTGTACGAAGCCACGCCCACAGGCCAGGCCCTGTGCTGCGAT